AGCCACCCAAAAAGTGCTGGGATTATAAGCATGAGCCACCACGCCCAGCCTGGGGGATCTGTTTCTATTGATTGGCTTTTCCTCCTCCTTCAGAGTCATTTGTCCTCCTTTGGGTTTTGTTACTGGATGCTGGACATCGTGAATTTTATGTTGCTAATTGCTGGATTTTGTTATTTTTTTTTTTTAATTGTGTTAGACTTGGGTGTAATGTGACTGAGATTAAATCTATATATGATGAGTGGTATAATGGGACACATTTAGGGATTTAATATGTAGTCATCAGGTACCCTATTTTAAAAGACTTTGTTGCTTTCAAATTCTTGATTGCTGTTCCGAGTGTACTGCATTCCAGCTGTCATTATAGGCGCTGATGTACCATAGTGAGCAAGTAGATAGGTTCTGGCTCTCATGAGCTGTTGAAGACGTAAAAAAACAAGAACACAAGTAGAACACCAGGATTTCAGAAGGCGATTTGCGATAGAGGATATTAACTGGGATGTTCAGGTGGATGGGTGAGCCAGAGCTCAGGAGATGGGCACTGCATCTGCAGTCAGAACAAGCACATTTTAACGTAAAGAATAATTAACAAGTGTCAGGGCGCGGTGGCTCACGCCTGTAATCTCAGCACTTTGGGAGGCCGAGGTGGGTGGATCACCTGAGGTCAGGAGTTGGAGACCGCCTGGTCAACATGGTAAAACTCCGTCTATTAAAAATAGAAAAATTAGCTGGGCATGGTGGTAGGTGTCCATAATCCCAGCTACTCAGGAGGCTGAGACAGGAGAATCGATTGAACCCAGGAGGTGGAGGTTGCGAGCCGAGATCGCACCATCACTCCAGCCCGGACAACAAGAGTGAAACTCCATCCCAAGGAAAAAAAAAAAAAAAAGAATAATTAACAAGTAATAACAGGTCAGCTCCCCAGATATGTGAAATGAGCACTAAAGAATATTGCCAGGGCAGATCTAGGGAGCAGCCACTAGGGGGAGCTTAAGGAGGGGACTGAAGAAAGCAACAGACTTGGAAGTGGAGTGGGTGTTGTTATACCCCGCTGGGCAGCAGAGAGGTGCTCTGAGGTCCTGCAGGCTGGGAGTGAGTGCCGGACAGTGTGTGCCCCCCAGTCCCTGCACACCACTGCCAGGGAGCTGCCTCAGGGTAAGAGCAAGAAGAGAAAAGCACAGGAACCTGGAGGGAAACCCCTTCTTCTTCATTGTCCTGTAGCACCCTCCACCCACACGACCACACATTGCACCTACCTGCTGGCAGGGGAGAAATGTTTACAGGGTGCAGCTCGTTCATCGTAAGCATGGCAAAGAAGAGTGAATTTGGAGTTGAGAGGCCAAAAAATTAACTGGCTCAACCAGCCTCCCTGAGTAGGTGATCTTTTTGCTGAGGACTTATGGGACAGCACTGTACAGTCTACCAGAGCCATTCAGAGCCTCAGTGGCTGTGGGTACAAGGCAAAAGGAGCAATGGCAGTGATGTAAAATCAGAACTTTGACTTGAGCAACCTTGAAAGCTGTGGTCAGAAATACGGAGTTTGCTTCTGAGTGATACAGAGGGGAACAGAAGTTTTATCTAGGGAGTTCCATGATCTCACTCTGCTGCTGCCTGGGGAACGGATGATTAATGGGTACATTTGGGAACAGATGTGCCACTAGAGAGAGCCAGTGCAGCTGTGCAGGCAAGAGGTGGGTGATGATGGCTTGGACTGGGTTGGCAGCAGCAGAGGAAGAAGAATGGGTGGATTGTGGAGGTGTTTAGGATTGAGGTGGAGTGGACAGCTTTGCTGCTAGATTGGTGTGGGAGGGAGGAGAGCGCAAACCTCGTGTGTTGAAGGGAGCAGACCCGCTTAGGGAACGGCCTCTTCTATCACTGCCTTCTCCTTGCCCTACGATGCCTCATCAGTCAGAGCTCTGTGACCTTCCAGCCACTTTCGGTCTGGGAATAGTCTCGCTTTCTGGTACTCAGGTCCATTGTACATAGCAACCTAAATGTGGCTAAGTAATCCCAGCACTTTGGGAAATGGAGGCAGGTTGGATCACCTAAGCTCAGGAGTTTGAGAGCAACATGGTGAAATTCTGTCTACCAAAAATGCAGAAAGTAGCTGGGCGTGGTGGTGCACGCCGGTGGTCCCAGGTACTCAGGAGGCTGAGATGAGACGATTACTTGAGTCTGGGAGGTGAAGGTTGCAGTGAGCCGAGAATGAGCCACTATGCTCTGGCCTGGGCGATAGAGCGAGATCCTATCTCCCCCCAAAAAACACCAAACCTAAATGTCTCATCTGGTTAATTCAGAGCCTCTTCCCCTCAAGTTAAGTGATGGCAGGAGTCCTCAAGGGTGGAGGGCAGTGGTTTATGTCCTGCTTCCTTATGCCTGCCCTCTTCCTCCAGGATGGAGAAGCGGCTCTGGAGAGGATACTTGGGGGTCTTTGTTCTCTGCTGAGTTGTCTAGGGTTCTTTTTGGCCCACTAGCACTAGGCCTTGGTCCTAATGGATGGCCCATTAGTTGCTGGCTCTTCCTGCTGAGAGGCTGCCTTAGTGTGCTCAGACTCCTAAGAATACCATGGGCTGGGCTGCTTAGAAAGAGCGGGCATTTCTACCTTTTATAGTCTGGAGAGCTAGAAGGTCTAAGATCAGGGTGCTGGCAGATTGGTGCCTGGGGAGGGCCTGAGCTCTGGTTCATAGCCCTCTCACCATCCTCGTGTGGTGGAAGGACATGGCAGCTCTCTGGAGCCTCCTTTATAAAAGGCACTAATCCCGTTCATGAAGACTCCATCCTCATGACCTAATCAATTCCTAAAAGGCCCCACTTTCTGATACATTATTACCTTAGGGGTTCAAATTTCAACCTACGAACAGGGAAAGGTGGGGGCACAAACGCTCAGAACAGAGCAAAACATACAGACCTTTGGACACTTCTGAGACCTCAGTGGGAACTTTGTGCTGGACTGTCTGGTAGAGATCCTGTGTGACATACAACCAGCCTGCCCCCGTCCCTACCACCATCTGCACTCTACACATTCCTGCATGGTGTAATGCTGGGGTGGGATTCTTTCAGGATGACACAAGCTCCTGCCTTCCTGTGTGCTGGCAGCAGCTGAGCTAGATCCCCTGTTGTCATTCCTCCGCCCACTTGGCAGCACTCAGGCTTTTCTGCTGCAGGGTCTTTTCTGCAAGGCCCACCACCAGTGTCTGTGTGCCCCAGCTCCACAGCACCCATCACAGGCCCTTGGCTCAGCGGCCGGCTAGGGTGCTATAGTGTCTGAACAGACCTGACCAAGCGCAGCCCGAGGTCAGCCCCAGGCTCCTTGCCACAGGCCACCACCCAGCTCTGAGAGCTTGTCTCATGGCTTCATGCTTGACTTGGGGAGGGGTGGTTGAGGGGAGCACCCTTTGCCTTGTGGGGACCAGAGTGGGACAGTGCAGCACTCTCGACTTAGCTGATTTCCTTTCTTGAAGCCTGTCCTTTGACTGTGATTCTCTTCCTCAGGCTATGGGGGTTGGGAGGCGTCATGGGTATGGAGCTGGGAGACCCTGTCGTGAGCCCAGGGAAGGTTCTCTAGCATCACCTTGTGGGCATCCTCAGCTCTGAGACCTGAGCCCCTCTTTCCATGGAGCAGAGTCCCTCTCAGGGCGTGTTCTAGAGGGGGCCCCAGTGCCGGTTGGGTGGGTACCTTGAGGGCAGGGGGAACCTAAGGTTGTGTTGTGTTTCTCTAGTGGTTGTTGGTGAAATCCTTTTGGTACTTACTGTTGGGCATGGGACATAGGAAGGTCTTTGCCAGTGTTCACTTTTTTTTTTTTTTGAGACAGTGTCTTGCTCTGTTTGTCATGCTGGCTCAATCTCAGCTCACTGCAACCTCCGCCTCCCGGGTTCAAGAGATTCTCCTCCCTCAGCTTCCTGAGTAGTTGAGATTATAGGTGCGTGATACCACACCCAGCGATTTTTGTAATGGTGGGTGGATCATTTGAGCCCAGGAGTTTGAGAGCAACCTGAGCAACATGGCAAAACTCTGTGTCCACCAAAAATACAGAAAATAGCTGGGCATGTGGTCCCACGTACCCAGGAGGCCGAGGTAAGACGATTGCTTGAGCAATTGTAGAGATGGGGTTTCACCTGAGGTCAGGCTGGTCTCGAACTCCTGACCTCAGGTGAACCCCCTGCCTTGGCCTCCCACAGTGTTGCCATTACGCCTGGCTGAGGGTTCTCTTTCTTGAGCCTCCTCTTTCCTCACTCAGAGCAGGCAGTGCAGGCTGCGGGATTCCCTAGGACAGAGGCCTCAGCCCTGCGCTGCTCAGTGTGAGGCTCAGAGAGGCCACTAGGTTTCTACTGTATGCTGTCTCAGGCGACCATGGGCACATCACTTTCCAGAGGTGCCCACTGAGGTGGTCATCGCATGTGCTGATTCGGACACTGGGAGTAAAACTGTTCTTTTGTAAATTAGTATAATTTTTATACTTAAAAAAATTTTAAATAGAGACAAGGTCTTGCTATGTTACCCAGGCTGGTCTCAAACTCCTGGGCTCAAATGATCCTCCCATCTCGGCCTCGCCAAGTGGTGGGATTACAGGTGTGACCACCATACCCAGCTGAATTGTTCTCTTTGTGCATGTGTGTGTCTGTGTGACAATGTCTGTGTCACCTAGGTGGGAGTGCAGTGGGGCACAATCACTGCTCACTATAGCCTCAACTTCCTGGGTTCAAATGATCCTCTCACCTTAGCTTCCTGGATAGCCGGGACTGCAGGCAGGCACCAACATGACCAGCCTAGTTTTCGTATTTCTTGTAGCAGTGGGATTTCACCATGTTGCCAGCAAGCCACCCACCTCAGACTCCCAAAGAGCTGAGATTACGAGTGTGAGCCACTGTGCCCGGCCAAGATACGTTCTTTTCAATGTCTAGATTTTACAGTTTTTAAAAAGGTATTTTCCCAAGCAGTTAATAAGAAATGGATGCTTTGAACATTTTAACACAACTGGTCTACTCTGTTCTCTTTAAAGCAGAGCCAAGATTTTCTTCTTCACTCCTCGCTTGGCGGCTCCCAGCCGGAGGCCAGCAGTGGTGCGAGGCTCACTCTGGGCGCACAGACACTACCTTCGGACACCGCTTGCTCATGCGAGGCCTGCAGTGAGCGCAGGTATGTGCTGTGTGCATCACATCACTCACCCCTGTCCACAACAACGTGCAGACGCATGTTGGAGCCAGACCGAGAAACTGGGCTAATGTGACAGACAGCAGCAAGGAGAGTGAGGCAGTCACTTGGCTATTGTGAAAAAGAATCAGACGAGTAAGAGAAAAACTCCTGCTCTTGAGGAACTGGCACTAGGAAGCACCCTCAGAACAGGGGAAGGAGTTCTTTAATCAGAATCTAAGAGCAGCCACAGTGAAGGAGAGGAGTGTTGGGCAAGGGCCGGACTGGCAGCTGCTGTGGGGCTGAGGGGAGAGCCCAGGAGCTCATCTTTTTTTTGAGACAGGGACTGGCTCTGTCCCTGATACCAGAGTGTAGTGGCATGATCTCGGCTCACCACAACCTCCGCCTTCCAGGCTCAAGTGATCACCCTCCTACCTCAGTCCCAGTGCCTGGGACTACAGGTGCGCACCACCTTGTCAGGCTACTTTTTGTTTATTTTGAAGAGATGGGGCTTCACCACTAGTCTCAAAGTCCTGCACTCAAGCAATTCACCTGCCTTCACCTCCCAAAGTGCTGGGATTACAGGCATGAGCCAGCATGCCTGGCCCAGGAGCACATCTAAAATGCTCTGTGCTGTGGCTCAGGAAGGAATGTAGCCAAGCTTGGGGGGCAAAAGTGAGGGCAAGGCTGACTATTAGGTACCTGGGAGGTGAAAGGCAGGTCAGCAGTGGGGATGTGGGACACTGATTGTGGACAGTAGCTGCAGACACTCCTGTCGTCTGTGCTAAGATCTTACAGATGCATTGCAGGGGATGCCATCATCCCCCCTGCAGTGACAGCAGCCTGATCGCCGACTCCTGGGAGCTGGGAGCTTGGCGCTGGGCAAGGTGCAAGAGCCGGGGAGGTGCTCTGAGGACAGTATGCTAGGAAGGGAAGCTACTGTCCTGTGTTGTCTAACTATCCTGTGTTGTCTCACAGAGAAATTTCAGCAGAGGCGGACCGAGAACCTCAGCAGCTGCAGAACTACTGGTCAGAAGTGCGCTACACGGTGCGCTGCATCTACCGCCAGGCAGGGACCCCGCTGGCAGACGACCAGGACCAGTCTCTGGTGCCTGACAAGGAGGGAGTGAAGGAGCTTGTGGATAGGTACATGCCTCCCCTTCCTGTTGTGGCCCTGTGCAAACCCCTGGCCTGCCCGTTGTGCAGATGGGCTTTCCTTTCCGTGCTCAGCTGGGCTTGTTCAGCCTTTGGTGCCTGTCAAGTCTGCAGCGGATGAACTGGCAGAAGTGAGCCCCCCAGGCCAAACGTTTTGAATTCTTCTGATTCTGATGAAACATGATTGCCTGTGTAATTACACAAGAAGTGTTTCTTGTGTCACTTGTTTCTGCGAAGACTGATGATAATGCCTGCCTTTTGGAGTCCTGCTGTGCCAGGGATGATGCTGAGTAGTTTCACAAGCACCCTTGACTTTATCAGACTAAGGAGAGAGAAAGGCAGAGTTAGCCATTTATGAAGTGAGGAAGCAGAGGCTCTGTGAGGTTGGGTAACTTGTGTGTGTACCTCGTGTGGCTCATGAGGTGGAGACAGCTGAGGCATGCCTGGCTGTGTGGCTGTTTCTCATGACGGTGCAGCTGTTTTTCAGCAGATACCTTATGCACAGAATTTGAGATGGCCATAATTTTTATTCTTTCTTATAGTTTGATGTAACATTTTCTTTGTTTTTTTTTTGAGATGGAGTTTCACTATTGTTGCCTAGGCTAGAGTGCAATGGTGCGATCTTGTCTGACTGCAACCTCTGCCTCCCGGGTTCAAGCTATTCCTGCCTCAGCCTCCACCTTAGCTGGGACTGCAGGCACCCACCACCACGCCCAGCTAATTTTTATATTTTTGATAGAGATGGGGTTTTGCCCTGTTGGTCAGATTGGTCTTGAACTCCTGACCTCAGGTCATTCACCCACCTTGGCCTCCCAAAGTGCTGGGATTCCAGGCATCAGCCACTGTGCCCAGTGGTTTAATAGATTTTTATGCTTTTTGAAATGTTTCAAATAAACAACAGATTTGAGATGGCCATTTCATGGGATGATTCTCATTTGAGTTTTTTTCTCATATTTTGAATGCAGCACATTTGGGAGTTTTGTTGCTTTTTTTCTTTCTTTTTTTTTTTTGGAGATGGAGTCTTACTCTGTTACCCAGGCTAGAGTGCAGTGGCGTCATCTCAGTTCACTGCAGCTTCTGTCGCCCAAGTTCAAGCAATTCTCTTGCTTCAGCCTCCCGAGTGGCTGGGATTATAGACACCTGCCACCATGCCTGGCTAATTTTTATATTTTTAATAGAGATGGGGTTTCACTATCTTGGCCAGGCTGGTCTTGAACTCCTGACTTCGTGATCCCCCTGCCTTGGCCTCTTAGAGTGCTGGGATTACAGGCGTGAGCCACCACACCCGGTTGGGAGTTTTATGAGCCGATGTTTGCTGTGCAGTAGATTCTATCCTGGAGGCAGGGATAATGATTAGGCATAGATGAGGTTAACTCATTGAATTCAGCCAAGTATGTTCAGGGTTTGACCTGCAAGCCATTGGTATTGCATCAGATGCTTCTCTGTGATATGTGCCTTTGTTAAAAGTTAGGTTTCCAGCCAAGCATGGTGGCTCACACCTGTAATCCTAGAACTCTGGGAGGCTGAGGTGCGAGGATTGTGTGGGCCCAAGAGTTTAAGACCAGCCTGGGCAACATAGCAAAACCTTATCTCTACAAAAAATAAAAAAGTTAGCCAGGTGTGGTGAAGTACACCTGTGGTCCCAGCTGCTTGGGAGGCTGAGATAGGAGAAGTGCGTGCTTAAGCTGCAGTGAGTTAGGATCGCTCTACTGCACTCCAGCCTGGGCAACAGAGTGAGGCCTTGTCTCAAAAAAAAAAAAACTAAACAAGAACAACAAAAACTTAGGTGTCCTACTGAGTGTTAGGAAAAAGTGTATAACCATCACATCAAACCCGTGGCTTCACGGATTGTTGATGCTGCATCTTCAGTACCTTAGAGGGGCAACCAGCATGTGGTTGATGTGCCAGCATCTGTTGAATGTATGTGTGACTTAGCGAGTGAGCTTCCACAGCATCTTAGCATATCGCTGCCTCCTTTTTGTATAACTTTAAAAAAAATTCTGTTTGCAAAAGTATCACATGGTTATTTCCTTAAATTTATGAAATACAGAAATGGACAATGAAAATAAAAGGAATTGAAGTCTGACATGCAATGACGTGGGTTTCCAGGCTACTTCTGAGTTTGGTTATCTCGGTCAAAACTTGACTGTTCTGTCTTCTGTAGCTTTTTCTTTTTCTTTCTCGTTCTTTTCTTTTCTTTCTTCTTTCGAGATGGGGTTTCACCATGTTGGTTAGGCTGGTCTCGAACTCCTGACCTCAGGTGATCCACCCGCCTTGGCCTCCCCCCAAGTGCTGGGATTACAGGCATGAGCCACTGTGCCCGGCCATGGCTTTCTTTAAATAGATGAAATATATTCTGTTTTGGGGGCAGTTTTTTTTTCTGTTGTTGTTGTTGTTTTTGGGACTGAGTCTCGCTCTTTTGCCCAGGCTGGAGTGCAGTGGTGCAATTTCAGCTCACTGCAACCTCTGCCTCCTGGGTTCAAGTGATTCTCCTGCTTCAGCCTCCGGAGTGGCTGGGACTATAGGCACCCATCACCATGCCTGGCGAATTTTTTTTTTTTTTTTTTTTGAGACAGAGTTTCACTCTTGCTACCAGGCTGGAGTGTAATTGCACAATCTTGGCTCACCGCAACCTCCGCCTCCTGGGTTCAGGCAGTTCTCCTGCCTCAGCCTCCTTAATTTTTTGTATTGTTAGTAGAGACGGGGTTTCACATGTTAGCCAGGATGGTATCAATCTCCTGACCTCATCATCTGCCTGCCTTGGCCTCCCAGAGTGCTAGGATTACAGGTGTTAGCCACTGTGCCTGGTTCCAGGGGACAGTTTTTTTTATACTGGTAATTGAAATTACAATTGTCATGCTCAAAAAATTAATGTCTATCTGAAATGCACTAACCGTAATGGGAATCCCACGCATCTATACCTTTTTTAAAACCACATTTTCCATAAGGCTTCACATGTTCCATCGCAAGATTTGACTTGGCTCTTGTCTTGTACAACCCAGGTAGTATGGCAATTTAAAATAGAGCAGGCGACAACTTTCTTTTCTTTTGACATAATGTGCTATGTAGAAGGTGAAAGGATTTACTGTGTGAAATCCAGGAGCTGTAGTTTAATACATTTTACAGATCATTTCTGTTAGAGTGATGGACTCAAACGGATTTCTCCTGGTGATTAGTTACGGAAGAATATTTGTTATTATGTCATTGGGTTTAGATTTCCACCTAGAGGCTTCTGGATTAAAATGCAATTAAATTTAACCACAGCAATGCCACTGCTGTAGAATAAGTTTTAAAAAGTGGATTATCATACAAGTATTTGTGTCAATAAAAAAGTGGATTATCCCAAAATTTAGAGAGAAATTCATGAAAACGTTCATTGCATTTGGCGCCTAGTCATGGGGCATGTGTTATTTTTTCCCTACTCTTCAGCCTACAAATTTTATTTTACATACCTTTATTGCTTTTTTGGTGGGATAATTTAAAAAAATAGTATAAACTGTGTCTAAAATTTCCTGTAGTGATGAGTCTAATAGAAACCCATTTGGATTGTACACCGAGCTCCTAGAAAGAAGGAAAGAGCGGGCTGCCCCAGGTCTGTAGCCCGGCGGCACCTCTCCTGGGGTCCGTGCTTTGTACTTCTTATCATAGAAGCCTTCAGAAGCAGTTGTCCCCAGCATCGTGTCTGAGCCTGTGCTCAGGAAATGGCACTTTTCCTGAGTGTGGTGGCTCACGCCGGTAATCCCAGTACTTCGGGAAGCCAGAGTGGGAGGATCACTTGAGCCCAGCCTGGATAACATGGAGAGACCCCATCTATACCAAAAAAATTACAATTTTTTGGTCACACCAGGTGTGACGACCCATACTACTCGAGATTGTGCGGCAAGAGGATCGCTTGAGCCCAGGGAGTTGAGGCTGCAGTGATGAGCCACTTCACTTCATCCTGGGCAACAGGGTGAGGCCCTGTCTCAAGAGAGGTGGTAGCGTGCTCTGCCGGCTGTGTGAGTTCATTCAGCTTACCCAACCCATGTGGGCCAAAATGCCCCACTCCATAAAGCAGGCACTGAACCTCCATGCAGCAAACTGAATTAGTGCATCTGCGTGAACAATGCTGTACAGAGAAAGCTCAGTAAATGTCACTTTTCCTGTTCCCTGGTGACACTCTCTGTGCCCTGGATTCCCCACCTGTTAGTTGGGGTGATCGTGTCTCTCACAGGTGGTTATGAGGAAGAGGACTGTGTTGTCTTCAGAGGTGGTCCCCTGTGGAAGGGCTTCAGAAAAGATGCTCACTGACATCAGAGCCACCCATGGGGCCCTGGTGGGCAGGCTCTGGTGACTTTCTTCTCTGTACAGGCTCTGCGAGAGGGACCCCTACCAGCTGTACCAGCGTCTGGAACAGCAAGCCCGAGAGTACGTGCTGGAGATGAAGGTCCGCCTTCTCAGGCAGCTGTCGGCTGCCGCCAAGGTGAAGGCACCGTCTGGCCTGCAGGGCCCACCGCAAGCGCACCAGTTCATCTCCCTCCTGCTTGAGGAGTACGGCGCCCTCTGCCAGGCCGCACGCTCCATCAGCACCTTTCTTGGCACTCTGGTAAGAGAGAAACTGTGTTTTTCTTTCTGTTCAGGTGAACTGAAGAGAAGCATGTGGCAAGAGGAAGTGTCTGATGCTTGTGTGCTGACCTCACTGTCACACCCCCACACACTGTCATTGGCCCCTGTCCTCTATGGGAGAGGACCTGTTTCCTCTCCTCTTTGTCTTTCCTGTGGACTTGGCCACTGGATAAAAACATTGGGTGGATCAATAACCAGGTGACACCTCAGGGAAGTACTATTTGGAGGACCTTGAGGCCCAGGGAACGAGGCATGGGAGAGCAGTTTGAGGTGAGCACTGATGAGACAGAAGTCTCCAGTGTCTTGCTTAGGTCCATCCTTGGGTTGCTGTAGACAGAGCTGGTGTGAGGTGAAGTGCCCATGAAGGCTGTAGAGAGCAGCTTGTTACAGCCCAGTGACATTCATTCATGCATGCATGCATTCACTCAACAAGCCAGCACTGAGTTAAGGATGTGCTTGCAGTCTCAAGGCAGGCCCTATCTCCAGCCTGGCCAATGGGCATCTGACTGTCCTAACAAAAGAGACACAGATGGGTCCAACCGCCTCAGAAGAGGAATTACCACAGTGTGTGGAAGGAGCATGGTACAGAAATGTGGTTCCAGGTTGGGTGCACTCAATTCTCAATAGCCTCAATGCCCCCGCGTTTTGGAAGGAGACCAGCTGCCCCAGACACAAGCCCTCAAAGCTTCTTTGACTATTACTAATAGTCTGTGGGTTTTTTCATCATCTCTTAAACTTTATTATTAAATAATTCTTCACTGTATTTGGGTGCTAGTTTTGGGTGCTTGCTTTCTTTAAATAAAGAAAAGGAATTGGCTGGGCGCAGTGGCTCACACCTGTAATCTCAGCACTTTGGGAGGCCAAGGTGGGTGGATCACGAGGTCAGGAGTTCAAGACTAGCCTGGCCAAGATGGTGAAACCCTGTCTCTACTAAAACTACAAAAATTAGCTGGGTGTGGTGGTGAGCACCTATAATCCCAGCTTATCGGGAGGCTGAGACAGGAGAATTGCTTGAACCTGGACGGCAGAGGTTGCAGTGAGCCAAGTCACACCACTGCACTTCAGCCTGGTGACAGAGCGAGACTGTCTCAAAAAAAAGAAAAAAGAAAACACATTTATTTTTTTTTTGGAGACAGAGTCTCACCCTGTCACCAGGCTGGAGTGCAGTGGCGCGTTCTCGGCTCACAGCAGCCTTCACCTCCTGGGTTCAAGTAATTCTCCTGCCTCAGCCTCCCGAGTAGCTGGGACTACAGGCATGCGCAGCTAAATTTTGTATTCGTAGAGACAGGGTTTCATCATGTTGGCCAGGATGGTCCTGATCGCTTGACCTCATGATCCACCCGCCTCGGCCTCCCAAAGTGCTGGGATTACAGGCGTGAGGCACCCCACCTGGCCGGAATTTACTTCTTATGGTTAGAAGGCTGAGAAGTCCAAGTTTGTGGGGGAACATCTGATGAGAGCCCTCTTGCAGGTGAGGACTCTGGAGAGTCTAGAGGTGGTGCAGGGCATCACATGGTGAGAAAGCTGAGCATCTAGTTATACGTGCTTTCTTAGTGGTAAAACGACATTTTGAAACAAATACAGTAAGTATTGGCATTGGTCTTTATCTGATTCTAAAGTTTGAAGGACCTCTGAGAGAAATTTACACACAGGCCAGGTGGGTTGACTCATGCCTATAATCCGAGCACTTTGGGAAGCCAAAGTGGGAGGATCACTTGAGCCCAGCCTGGGCAACCTGGGGAGACCCCATCTATATATAAAAAAATTAAAATTAAATTAATCAGGCATGATGACACATGCTACTCAGGAGGTGTGAGGCAAGAGGATCATTTGAGCCCAGGGAGTCGAGGCTGTGTTGAGCCACTGCACTCCAGCCTGGGCAACAGAGTGAGACCCTGTCTCAAAAAGAGAAGAAAAAATTATATACATGGAATTGTAAGTCATTTCAGGGGGTTCACAGACTTCCTCAAGCTTCACTACACCAAGCCGTGGGGAGGTATCCATTCTGAGAAGAGGTAGTGAGGTGAATGGGGTAGGGTGGGAGGTGGGTGGCTGGGCAGTTACCCTGTTTCAAGGTCTGAGTCCATTGGGTAGTGCCACCAGGCTTCCTTCTGGTACCTCTTCCTTCCTTGGGCATCTCTCGCAGCACTGCCTCCCCATCTTCACCTGAAAGTCTGCCTGTCCTTCAGAGGTTCAAATCCAGAGCCCCTCCTCTGTCTTCTACAAGAACATTGGCTCAGGTGAAGAAGGATGCTCTCCAGCCCACCTGAACCTGGTACCCAGAGAGACTCTGGTAGCAAAGAGAGCTGCTGCTGCTGCTGCTCTCCAGAGAGTGCTGCTGAGGTCTGTGCCCCCTCAGATAGTTACTGTAGGACACTGTTTTATGAAGCTGACAAAAATTGATTTGAACCATATTTATTAAAGCAAATTCCTGGCAGTTGACGTAGAAATAATTTCTCATGGCTTGAAAAAAAAATGCATAAACTCGGAAGCTGTTTGATCAATGTCTTTTTTCGCATCCTTTACACATAGATATATCCACATTGGTTTCTAGTGGTCCAGCAGATTAGATACCTTTAACTGTTCCTTCCTCCAAGGGAAACAACTGAATTTACTAGATAATAAAAAATAATCTGGGCACTGTGGCTCTTGCCTGTAATCCCAGCATTTTGGGAGGCTGAAGCAGTTGGATCACCTGAGGTCAGGGGTTCGAGACCAACCTGGCCAACATGATGAAACGCCATCTGTACTAAAAATACAAAAAATTAGCCGGGCATGGTGGCACGTGCCTATAATCCCAGCTACCTGTGAGGCTGAGGTAGGAGAATCACTTGAACCCGGGAGGTGGGAGTTGCAGTGAGCCGAGATTGTGCCACTGTACTCCAGCCTAGGCAACAAGAGTGAAACTCCATCTCAAAAATAAATAAATAAAAAAGATAAAAAATTTAAAAAATGTCTGGCTGAGATGGCATGAAAGGGAGATGTTGTAGTGGTGAAAAACCAGTCGAAAACCAGAATCCTGAGAAATATATGGGCTTGAAAGTCAGCATTTCTTACCGGGACTTCTTCGGATCCTGGGAAATGAGATTCGGCCTAGCCCAGGATGGGGTCTGCACATAATGCTGGGACTGTAAGGGACAACACCCTCAGTACGGTTGTCAGGGTGAGGATGCAGGGAGTACAGCTTCCTAGAGACTTGGTAGCTGTCAGCCAGCTGCCACCTGAGTTGGAGTCTGAATAAATGTTGGTGTGGTATGAAACAGCCCAAGTCTGGAAGTTACTTTTTCGTGGTCCAAGGTTGCTGGTAGTCAGGCAGCTGCTGATCGCCTCTGGAAGCCTTCCGTGTGACCTCAGAATTCAAGTAGGTAAAATCTCCCCAGATGAGCAGCTCACAGTAAAAAACACAATGTTCATGACAGCACAGTTGAGAGCCAGCAGAAGCAATAGACAGAATCACAGAACAAAAGATTTAAATTTTCAAAAAATGTAATTTTCAAAATATTTAAATGTTTTGGAAATTTAAATCTTCCATAAGATTAAATTGAACTGTGCTTAGAGAAACTTTGTAAAAGTTTGAAATTAGGAGTTAAGGATTAATACTTTAAAGAATGATCATTCAGATTTGAAAAAAATAGCAAACATAATGTTTTGGAAAAGCTTAATGGATAGTGAAACAATAAACAGCTGAAAAGAGAACTGGTGATTTGGAAGAAAGAAGCGCAGGAATTCTGTAGAGTGCAACTCGAAGCAACAGAGATGGGCCACACAGGAGAGGCTGAGACCTAAAGGATGCAGTGAAGAAGTCTGGCCATCAGTCATCAGACTCCCCAGAGAAAAGCAGAATGCGGCAGAGAGGATAGCTGAGAAAGTGTCAGAACTACTGCGAAGGACGAGTGTTCAGCAAGAACGCGCCCCAGACTTCCCCAGCAGAGAGGTAGAAGGTCCCTTTCTGGGTCTAGCGTAGTGACGGCTACAGGACATCAAAGAAAAGGTGATCTCAAGCACGGAACACGGGACTTCGTTGAAATGTCTGTGAGCTTTCTGGATTCTGGGTGGAGACTCCAGTGAATCTCTGTGGACTCCTTCACAATTAGTCAGTATTTTGCCACTCTGACTTCATTATGCCTTCTGTTTCTTTCTCTTTCTCTTCTGCCCTCTTTTTTTTTTTTTTTGCAATATTTTAATATTGGTCCTAGACAACATGCCTTTTTGTCTTAGAATATTCCAGTAAGTGTCTTTAAAAGTGATCATCCATTATCTTATGTAGCCACAGTTCCATTGTCACATCCATGAAAACTGACAGTAATAGTAAATTTCTTCTTACTGACTAATACCAGTCTGTATGAAAAGACTCCAGTTACCTAAAAAAATCTCTCTTTATGGCTGGGTTATTCAAATCAGGACCCCAAACTCTTCATTGTATAACCGCATTATTACACTGCCACCCAGTGATCTGTGCCGCTTAAGATAAACTTGAATAGTGTCTCGGAGCAGTAATTCTCAAGATTTTTTTTTCATTTTGTTTAGAAAAGCAACATGATTGTGATTATATTTTCTCAACATTTTTGACTCAGGCCCCTTTATACTTAAAAATTTAGGACCCTGAAGTGTGCTTTTTTTTTTGGAGATGGAGTCTCATTCTGTTGCCCAGTTTGGAGTGCTGCAGTGGCACGATCTTGGCTCAGCATAACCCCTCTCTCCCAGGTTTAAGTGATTCTCCTGCCTTAGCCTCCTGAGTAGCTGGGCTATAGGTGTGTGCCACCATGCCCAGCTAATTTTTGTATTTTTAGTAGAGACGGGGTTTCACTATGTTGGCCAGGCTGGTCTCAAACTCCTGACCACGTGATCCACCCGCCTCGGCCTCCTAAAATGCTGGGATTACAGACATGAGCCACCTTGTCTGGCCAAAGCATGCTTTTTTTTTTAATGTGGATTTTTATTAGTACTTGCTGTATTGACATTTAAACTGAGAATTTTTTTAAATGCTTATTGACATTTTAAACCTCTCATTAGATTACATAAATTACATATTTTAACATATATTAGATCATGTAGCAAATAACACACTTTTACATTAGATAATGTAACATAAATAACATACTTAAAAATAACTATTTTCCAAAATAAAACATTTCCTTTTTTTTTTTGGAGACAGAGTTTTGCTCTTGTTGCCCAGTCTGGAGTGCAATGGCATGATCTCCTTCACCTCCTGAGTTCAAGCAATACTCCTGCCTCAGCCTCCCAAGTACCTGGGATTGCAGGTGTCTGCCACCACACCCAGCTAATTTTTTTGTATTTTTTTTTTTTTTTTTTTTAGTAGAGAGAGGGTTTGACCTTGTTAGACAGGCTGGTCTCGAACTCCTGACCTCAGGTGATCTGCCCACCTGCAGATCATGCAGGATTGTTGCATAGGTAGATACACGGTAAGGTGGTTTGCTGCCTCCATCCCATGTCACCTAGTCTGGCATTTCTCCCCATGTTATCCCTCCCCAACCTCCCCACCCCCTGGCCAACATGTTTCTTAAGAAGAGTGTGTCGCTCACACCTCTCCTATCTCTGTAGAGGCAGTGGAAGTCTCATTTGCTTCTGCATTCAGTCTGTTGTCATAGGTTGTCTGGTTGAAGTTATTGAAGAAAATTCACCTTTTCACAGATACGTAGTTGGAAAAAGGAAGAATATTTTCATAGTCTCTTCAAATCCTGATAAACCAAGATGTGAGAATTCAATGGTTAGTTGCGATGTAGTCTGAAACTGTATCACTGAACTTACCCTACTCTGTTCTATGAAAATCAGGTTCCAGCTCACCCTCAGTGGACCCTCTACTTATGCATGATTTTCTAGTGTCATCCACAGGTCATTTTGCAAATATTGGTTCACCGAATATCTTCTGGATGTTGACATTTTTATTCATATCAAAAATGATATTTGTTCGTATCACCACTGATCTCATCAGAAAGGTCTTTAAATGTGTAATACCTTTCAAGCCAACAGCGGCAAATGCAAGTTTTCTTTTTTGCTTGAAAGCTCAGATTTTTTTTTTTTTTTTTTTTTTTTTTTGAGACAGAGTCTTGCTTTGTCACCCAGGCTGGAGTACAGTGACACAATATTGACTCACTGCAAACTCCACCTCCTGGGTTCTAGCGATTCTCCTGCCTCAACCTCCTGAGTAGCTGAGATTACAGGTGCCCGCTAGCATGCCAGGCTAATTTTTCTATTTTTAGTAGAGACAGGGTTTCACCATGTTGGCCAGGTTGATCTTGAACTCCTTGCCTCAGATGATCTGCCTGCTTTGGCCTCCCAAAGTGCTGGGATTACAGGTATGAGCCACCGCACCCAGCCAAAAGCTGATTTTATGATTAGCCACAAATCGTGTCACTTGTTTTCTTTGAAGCAGCAGGTTTGATTTGATGTGCAGACTCTGCCAGCTGATTCTCTAACTTCATTAGCTCTTCGTGAACAGCACCCTCATTTTACTGCTTTTGCTGATCTCACTGGATACTCCTGGACACAGAAGGATGTTCTCAGAAATGCAGCTTTACTGGAGAATGCCCTCATGTGAGGTTTATTCCAGACTGCCTGGGGGGATCAAACAGGATAATGAGTCACATTTTTTGTACTTAAAGTACTAAAATAAAATTGGGGGACTGAGTGTGGTGGCTCACACCTGTAATCCCAGCACTTTGGGAGGCCAAGGTGGGTGGATTGCTTGAGCCCAGGAGTTCAAGACCAGTTTGGGCAACATGGTGAGACCCTGTCTCTACAAAAGATAGAAAAATTACCTGAGCATGGTAGTGCACGCCTATAGTTCCAGCTACTCAGGAGGCTGAGGTGAGAGGATTGCTTGATCTTGGAAGGTGGAGGTTGCATTGAACCAAGATTGTGCCAGTGCACTCCAGTCTGGGCAACAGAGCAAGACTCTGTCTCAATCGATCAGTCAATTATTATTTTTTTAAAGAAATCTAAAAAGAATAAAATAAAATTGGGACTAGGCTTAAGTTATGCTTTCAGTCATCTAGGAAATGTCTCACCATGCTGTAATACTGAACTCTAAATTTTCATCCACAAAGACAGAAAGATCTCAAATATCCTGTAATTTCTGTCTACTGTAGGACTGTATTCTAAACATCTTCTCTTCCTGCTTCTAAACCTTTTTTGTAGTGGGATATGAGAACAGTTTGCAAAGCCTGCCCTTTCTGCCTCTAGCTCAGCAGTTCGCCCATAGGCCTCACCTCTCATAGGAGCTGAGGCAGTATATCCTGCAGAGCCCACCCCTGCATGTCCCGATCCAATTATTCGAGCCCCTCTGTGCTGGTTCCACACCTGTAGATGGGTGCATGGGCAGGGAAGCACCAAGTTCGCAGGAAACTTGCTGGAGGCATTGAGTTCAGCGCTCAGAACAGTGCCTGGCCATGGTAGGCATTCAGGTGTTAGCATGTGTTGCTTAAGGAAATGCCAAGTTGATTTTAGGTTGTGAAGTGAGTCTGAAATCTGCTGTTTTGTCTTGCATGCCTCACGTAGAAGTGTAATTTTAGATTTTATGAAAAGTGCCAAACATCTTCATAAATCAGTCTTCATCCAGTGACCACTAGCAACTGTCCTAGAAAGCCAGACTTGTGATTCCACTCATAGGCAGGCAGGTGGAAACGGCTATCCCGAAGGTTTCCAAGGGAGGCCAGGCAAAGCCTCAGCTCTTCCAGGAGGCCCCTCCCTCAGCTGGTCACCAGCCTGGTCTGATCTGGGTGCTACATTTGCTCCTGTGTACTCTTTGTCTTGTAGCTGAATTGTAAGTCAGGTCACTGCCTGCTCCTCTGTTCCCCAGTAACCCTGGAGGGCAGGTGCCCACTGTAGCAGGAGGTAGTCTTTGTGTCCTCATACCTGGCACAGCACCTGGGCAGCATGGGTTTGGTACTTCACCTGCTTCATTATTATGAGCACATTCGTGGGTTCCAGCCTGGGGCCGGCTATCAGTTACCTGTCCCTGGTCTCCTGCCGCATGCCTTTTTCCTGTACTGAGTGTGCGTGCTCTGAGACACGCTTGGTGTGAAACAGGAGTGATAGCATTTCACTCTCAGAGGGACTGGTGAACGTACGATGAGGAAAAGTATTGGAAATGTTAACCAAATGGAAGGGTTGAGGTTTTCTGCAGATGGCTAGATTCATTGCCGAATCTCTCACTCCTTGTGTTTCCAGGTGTGAAAACAGAGCTTTCCCCAGCAGGGCTGGCACATGGTGGTCTAGGATCATCACGGGGGTGCGCTCTCCAATGTGTTTGTAGGGGTTTACTTTCCAGAACAGAAGTTAACCGTATGATTTGTTCTCTCAGCCCCCATACCCACTAGGGTTATCAGGGGACATAACAATGAAATCTTTGTGTCGTTCATTTGCTAACGTCTCCATCAAGTCAACTTGGCTATATTGTAAGCAGGAGCAGACCTCTAAACCCAGTCCCTGTGAGTGACCCGACTCAGGAGACGTGGAGTAGCCAAGCATGATGAAGTGCAGTTTCCAGAGCTGGCGATTATTGAAGGCAGGAACATTCCCCCACAGATGTAACGTGGTCTGAACACAAGTAGTGCCGGTGTAGTTCACAGAGGGAAGCACGGATTCACACACGCATGGTTGTGGCGAGACTTATTAAATGTGAGCATTGCCTCAGGAAAGGTAACAGTGGCGCCAGCCCCAGGGATCTTGTGTTAGGGCTTGCTGTACGTCTCTGTTGACATGGCTCTGTGATGACTGGACACTTGTTGGTTTTCGTGGTATTGTCTAAAGTAGCTGATGAGTTTGGCTACATTCATTAGGAAGACAAAAGACCTTACCTCTGATAGGGTATTGTGAGTGGAGAAGTTTTGTGAATTAATTAGAATGGGAGCTTTCTCCAAATAGGTAAGAGAATTATTGTCCTTTGGCATTGAGGGACTCGAGGTATCTAAACTGTTTGAAGTGTAAGGGTTTTCATTACATTTGAAAAGTGTGAGTGTGAGAAATTACTCTCAAACACGCGCAGTTACGACTTCGTCTGCGCGCACACCTGCCACCCTGTTCTTGCGTCCCTTCTAAACTTGCCATTTTAGAAGGGAAGCTCAGTGAAACCATGTCCTTGTAGTCAGAGTTCTGATTCACTGTGTGCCTTGGGACATACAGGGAGAACGCTCGGGGCCTCTGGAGAGGGATGTGGGCATGGCGGGAGGAGCAGGGTAGAGGGGAAGGAATCCCTCTGGGAACTTTCAAGTCTTTAGCAATCACTGAATCTTCTGTTTATCTCTTTTTTTCTTCAACTAGGAAAATGAACACTTGAAAAAGTTCCAAGTGACGTGGGAACTGCATAATAAACACCTGTTTGAAAATCTGGTCTTTTCGGAGCCACTTCTTCAGAGCAACTTGCCTGCACTGGTGTCACAGATCAGGTATTTGGCCTTAACCTGTGTATGTCTTTGTGGTGTGACAGCACAGTCTTCTCTCCTGACTAGTGTGATGTAGCTGAGTGCAACTGAGTCTGAAAGTTCTTGCAGGAAAAAAATCACAGGGCTCAGAGAAAAAGATAGTTTGGGCCAAAAGCTCAAAACCTAAGAAGTAATACAATTAAACTTTTAAATGATAAGTCAACATAAATGCCTCTTAAGATTTGACACCACAAATTCCTTATAAATACAGAAAAGCTACAGTAAACATAGTACTTTTCCTTGGCAAGGCCCATTCTTGACAGGCATCCATGGTATGGTTCATGCTATGGCTCTCGGCATGCAGGGGACATGGAGGAGGGAAGAGACCCGGGTCTGAGGGTGCCTGAGGCCCCTGGACACAGCTCGGTGTCTTTTCCACGCTTTCCCTTGAGGCCCCGTTGCTTTGACTTCTGGTGTAGTGCGTCTGTGAGGCTCCTTCATGCTTGGGAGGCTGGCTGGCTTCTGTGCGTTCACTGAGAAAGGGGTGCAGAGTGCAGCAGTGACTCATGGAGGATTTGCTCCGGGTCAGAGTGACAAGGTGCAGGCTGGGCATGTATTTGCCCTGTTGGTACCATGTTCAGGTGGGAGTATGTTCCTCCTGATGTGATGTTGCTCGGCAGATCCCGGTTCCCTGCACTGAGTCATGCATGAGCTATCACAGGTCTGCAGTTGGGTGATTTTGTTCTATTCACCACATGTGAGCACATTTGCATAATAGAGACCCATTGTGACAGCAGCCATCTACATTTGACCACATTAAAATATACTTAGGGGCCAGGTGCGGTGGCTTACACCTGTAATTCCAGCACTTTGGGAGGCCTAGGCATGGATCACCTGTGATCAGGCATTCGAGACCAGTCTGGCCAACATGGTAAAACCCCCTTTCTACTAAAAGTATAAAAATTATCCAGGTGTGGTGGTGGTGCACACCTGTGATCCTGGCTACTCGGGAGGCTGAGGTAGGAGAATTGCTTGAACCCAGGAGGCGAAGGTTGGCCTGGGTGATAGAGCAAGATGCTATCACAGGGAAGAAACATCGTTAGGTTAACGAAGCAAGGGAACAGATTATTGTTCTGTTGACCACACCAATTACTGCTTGCTTTTTTTTTTTTTTTTGAGACGGAGTCTTGCTCTGTTGCTCAGGCTGGAGTGCAGTGGCACAATCTTAGTTCACTGTAATCCCAGCACTTTGGGAAGCTGAGGCGGGCGAATCACGAGGTCAAGAGATCGTGACCAAACTGGCCAACATGGTGAAACCCCGTCTCTACTAGAAAATACAAAACTTCCACCTCCCCGATTCAAAGCCATTCTTCTGCCTAAGCCTCCCGAGTAACCAGGATTGGGATTACAGGTGTGCACCGCCGTGCCTAGCTGATGTTTGTATTTGTAGTAGAGGCTACCATTTTGTGTTTTAGTTTCACCATGTTGTCTACCCGCCTCGGCCTCCCAAAGTGCTGGGATTACAGGTGTCAGCCTCCATGCCCAGCCTCCTATTTTTCTCTTAAAATCCGTAGGTTGACCCAGTCTTTGTTTCCTGTATTTTCAAATTTTATTTGAAGGATTCTCACCACCTTCACTTCACAACCTTACCTCTGGAGAAAGCAGTTAGGTCAAAGAGAATTGAGGACAAAGAGATCAGAAGCTACACGTGGTGGCTTTTACACCTCTAGTCCCAGCGACTTGAGAGGTTGAGGCAGGAGGAGTGCTTAAGCCTAGGAGCTGGAGACCAGACTGGGTAACAGCAAGACCCCATCTCTTCAAACAAACAAACAAAAAACAGAACAAGGTGTTATGGGGGGTGTGGGGAGCTGGCAGGGGGGTTGCAGATACTTCCTGTGTTCCCTGTGCCCCATCCTGCTTCTCAGCCATTCCTTCCCTTCTGTGGCCACTGTGTCAAGATTGGAAAGTCCTTACTGTGACCTTTGCAGAAGAAAAGGCTTCGGAAGAGAATTCGCAGTGGTGAATCTGGAATGTGGAGCAGGCTTTGTCCCTAGTTATGATTCTTCAAAAGCTCTTCTCACGAGAAGGCATGCATCTTGGGAGACGGGTTCTAAAAACATGATTCCAGGGTATCTACCTTTAAAAAAAAAAATGTACTGGTAAGCCAGCGAGTTTGGCATGCCTGTCAGACTGTGGGTGCATCATAAAACTCCCATTTTTTTCTGTGTCCTAGTTCTCAATTTTCCGTTTGCTCATTGTGTATAGTGGTCAGACTGCAACCATGAGCCATACCTCCAGTGTAGATGCTGGGCTCACACTGCAGTCTCACTTCTCGCTTCTGAGACCCAGGGGCAGTTGAGGGAGAAGGATAAACACAGACAGGGACGGAGCGAGGCCAACAGCGTGTTCCCTGAGCAGCACTGATGATGCCAGGACACGCCATGCCTTTGTGCTCTGCAGCTGACTCACTTGTCAGCATGAGACTGACTCAGCATAATTCAGATTTGCATTGCTAGTGTACAGATACACATTTAACAATTCATAAAAATTTTGCTACTGATGGCCAGGCGCAGTGGCTCACACCTGTAATCCCAGCACTTTGGGAAGCTGAGGCGGGCGAATCACGAGGTCAAGAGATCATGACCATCCTGGCCAACATGGTGAAACCCCATCTCTACTAAAAAATATAAAATTAGCTGGACGTGGTGGCACGCACCTGTAGTCCCAGCTACTCTGGAGGCTGAGGGAGGAGAATTGCTTGAACCCAGGAGGCAGAGGTTGCAGCGAGCCGAGATCGCGCCACTGCACTCCAGCCTGGCGCCTGGTGACAGAACAAGACTCTGTCTCAAATAAATAAATAAATAATAAAAATTGTTGCTACTGATTACATACAAACACCCCCTACAGCATCTGCATCATATGAAATACATGTACCATTTACCTACTTAAAATGTACAATTCAGTGGCTTTTGGTATATTACATCTTTTAAAAATTATGGTAAAGTGTGTATAACATAAAGGTAACCATTTTAACTATTTTAAGTGTATATTTCAGTAACATTAATTATATTTATAGTATTTATAACCATCACCACCATGCTCTTTAAAATTTTTTCCTCACCCGAAACAGAAATGCCACCCATTGAAGAGTAACTCTCCATTGCCCCCTTCTGTTTTTCCCCTATAGCCTTTGAAAGTCTGTAATTGGCAGGTTCCTTCCCCCAGCTCCCCACCCCTTTTTGTCTTAAAATGTATCTGTTAAAGAACTGGGCCATCTCTCCTGGGGGTGCCTTGGTCTGGCTCCTGCATGGCTGTGTTTACGGAGTAGTCAAGCCATCTCCATCCTCTGTCCTGCTTGAGAATTGGTGGTGGAATCTGAAGGCTCTGGATGGCTCTGCCCAGCTCCCCTGGCCAGCCAGCGGGGGGTGAGGTGGGTGTTTCTATCAGGGGTGGATCCCTCAGATCCCCTGGTTGGTCAGTGGTGGGGTATGTGTTCCTATGCTTCTGTCAGGGGTGGGTCCCTCCAATCCCCTGGCTGGTCAGTGCAGGGGGGAATGTTTCTGTCGGGGTGGATCCCTCAGATCCCCTGGCTGGTTGGTGCTGGGGGATGTGTTTCTATGTTTCTATCAGGATTGGATCCCTCAGATCCCCTGGCTGGTCAGTGCAGGGGGGAATGTTTCTGTCAGGGGTGGATCCCTCCCATCCCCTGGCCGGTCAGTGGTGGGGGGTATGTTTTATGTTTCTGTCGGGGTGGATCCCTCCGATCCCCTGGCCTGTCAGTGGTGGGGGGTGTGTTTCTATGTTTCTGTCAGGGGTGGATCCCTCCCATCCCCTGGCCGGTCAGTGGTGGGGGGTATGTGTTATGTTTCTGTCGGGGTGGATCCCTCCGATCCCCTGGCCTGTCAGTGGTGGGGGGTGTGTTTCTATGTTTCTGTCAGGGGTGGATCCCTCAGATCCCCTGGCTGGTCGGTGCCGGGGGGTGTGTTTCTATGTTTCTATCAGGAGTGGATCCTTCAGATCCCCTGGCTGGTCAGTGCAGGGGGGAATGTTTCTGTCGGGGTGGATCCCTCAGATCCCCTGGCTGGTCGGTGCCGGGAGGGTGTGTTTCTATGTTTCTATCAGGAGTGGATCCCTCAGATCCCCTGGCTGGTCAGTGCAGGGGGGAATGTTTCTGTCGGGATGGATCCCTCCCATCCCCTGGCCGGTCAGTGGTGGGGGGTATGTTTTATGTTTCTGTCAGGGGTGGATCCCTCCAATCCCCTGGCTGGTCAGTGGGGAGTGTTTCTGTCTGGAGCAGATGCCTCAGGCCTGCTTCTCTTAGTTGTGGGCGTCAGTAGCTCAATGTGGGTTTCACTTTAAATATATATTAATTAGGCTTATAAAACTTACCCAGACCGATGTTATTTCATTCTCCTTGTCAATAATAATACTGTTTCACATACACATTATTGGTAACATTACAGTGAGCCTATTTCCATGGTGCTGTCTTACATTTGCAAGCTCAATATTTAGACAGAAACCTGTTTGTTGAGCCATTGATTTAATTCAACCCTGTGGATATTTCCTGTGACTCTTTTGATCCTAGCATAGCTTTGCTTGTGGGGAAGCCCTGTGCCTGCAGATTGTTTTCCAATTACACCACCAAAGATAACCACAAACCCCTCCGCCATCCCTTTTGCTCTCCCTTGGCTCAGAGTAATCTAAATTCTATAACTTGGAAGAGATACGTTCCTACTTCTGGGCGGAGTGGGACAAGGAACACATGACAGGGTGTAATGCCCTGTCCCGGTTTTCCAGGTGGAGTGAGGAGGGGCAGGTTGGAATTGGGTAGAAACTGGATTCTGTGCAAGCATGGAAACCAGTCATGGAAGAGCACGGCTGGCAGAGGAGAAATGGGAGAACAACTGCTCACGGGCTGCACTGTGGCAGAACCCCAGTGCCGCTGGAGTCTCAAGTCCGTGTCTGGAGAAGTTTTGTCTCCTGAGGGCCAGAAGCAGCCTTAGAAGAACAGCTTTGATGTTTTGAAGTGGCCTCAATCCTGTGCGTCAGTATTGTTTCTTTCCTTTTGCCCGGCTTCCTTAAATGACTGCCCAGTTACCCCAACCTCTGCTGCCTCCCCTGGAGAGACTGCAGTAGGTGAGCTCACAGATGGCCTCAGTAGCCGAGATTCCCAGGCACGATTTGCCTGAGGGTGGAGATAGTCAGAGGAGAGGAGGGAGTCATTCCTGCCCCTTTCACCCATGGGAAGATCCTAATTTTAACATAGCTTTATTGTTTATCATAAAATTATTAGATTATCGTTAAAAAATAATTCCGAAAATATGGAAAATCATGAATAAAGTTAGGTTTTATAAATAATTTTGTATTTCTTACACATTTTTTCCCTATGTCCACTACAAATATTTTTAACATGCTGTAGTCATATCTTTAGTTACCATGGGCATAGCTCCATTTCAAAATACATACAGGTAGATATACACGAGTGTGTGTATTTGTGTGAATGGGTTGACGTAATTATAAAAGTGGTAACAAGCATCTAGTTATCTAGTACTGATTCTTCTAGATGTGCCATGATACGTTTGGGTGGCTTCTAGTGTTTTATGTAAACAATGCTGATCCCTAACCCTGCACAGAATCTTTGTGCTCTTGATACATTATAAATGGCCTGTTTGATTCTAAGCCATCCTCATCAAGATGTCTTCTTTCCACTTGTTTTGGCTCACACTGACAGACTTAGGTATTAGGAACATGAACTTTTTCTGACAATAATCTACATGTGTCTCCACACCTCGCCTCGTCCTCCTCCTGACCCTGGCCCCCAGCCTTCTGTCTCCCAAGGGCTGTCTTGCTTACAGTCTCTTTTCAGAAATCGAGATACTTTCTCACTGTCCACCTGCACGTGTGTCTTCTGTTTCCCGTTTATGTTCTCATTTTCTATTGTGCCGTCTTCCTTAATGTAATATAGACAGTAGACAGAAGACAGAAAACTATTCTATTTCTTTAAGTAAATCAAATTTTGTTTGCTTTATTTGAAAACCAGACATAAATTTTATGTGTCATTAAATGTTTTGTTTTCTCTGAGCCAGTTGTATAAATAATAATAATAAAACGATTATGAGACTGCAAAAATACCTTTGCAGTCTCATATTCGTTTTATTATTTTTAATTTTTTAAGTTTTTCATTTGCAACTCCATATTTGGTGAACTGAATTATTAAGCCATAGTCGTTAGAGATGTGTTGTTCAGTGCTCACTTCTTTCTTAGAAAAAAGTGTTGTTCCCTTGAGCATCTCCTTTTTACCAGTCTGTCCCGGTGCCTTGTGTGGGGAATCTGTCGATCCCAAGCAGCGCCCTGCTGTGGTGCAGAGTGGTGCCCTGTTTTCCATGTTAGGAGGTGAGATGACAAAACAGGATAGTAGCAGCAAGAAGCACATTTCTGCCTTTGGGTTGTTTCCTTTGTTACAAGGCCTTCTCTCTCCTAGGCTAGGAACCACCACACACGACACCTGCAGTGAGGACACATACAGCACCTTGCTGCAGAGGTACCAGCGCTCCGAGGAGGAGCTGCACAGAGTCGCTGAGGAGTGGCTGGAGTGCCAGAAGAGGATCGATGCCTATGTGGACGAGCAGGTGAGTGCTGCCTGGGACCACCACCCTTGGACGGCCCTGTTGAAGGCAGCATCAAGACACTAACTTCGTCCTGAGCTGCAAGCCAGGATTCCCAACTGAGGCCTGGAGGCGCATGTGTAGCCCCTGTGTGTCAGTTGCTGGTTTTCCAGAAAGGATGGGAAACCTGTTGGCATCACAAGGTGGCTTGGCCCTGCTGTGCCTGAGGTGTGCTGGTAGCAGTTGGTCAACTTCACCTTGCCCTGGGCACACCTGCTGTCACTGCCATGGACTGTCACCCAGACTCTGTACCCCAGGTAGGAGGTTTTTAGTTTGAGGGCCATTTACTGAGCACTCTCCTGTTGAGAGCTCATTGTCTGTCTGTCCCAGTCTAGAAGGGAGTGCAGACACATGCACAGGTGGCAGGTGGCTCACAAGGTGGAAGACAGAACAGGGAGGGTACCTGCTGGAAGTGGATCTGAAGGGAGGGCGCTCAGGCAGCCCAGGTCTCTCAGATGGAGCAGTGTTTTGAGACAGCATCCTCTCCTTCCCACCCCTGGCCTGCCTGCTCTCCTAAAGCAGGGTTGGACCAGGCAGCCCTTATTTAAAGATGACAGTGGTGTGAGCAGCGGTAATGGAGGGATGACTGACTTCTTTCTGTGTTGCGCTTTTGAGACTGTCTGTAGGAAAATGGAACCTGGGCTCTGGCCTAAAGTGTGTGCTGGTCCCATGTCTGCCCTGGCATGGTGAGTGCCACATGGATGCCAGCTGTGCCTCCTGTCAGTGCTCTGAGGGACTGGGAAGAAGGAAGGGACTGGCCTGTGCTCCCTGCCTCCGTGAACTGTGTCATTGAATTCACAGTGCAGACCGTGTTTTCTGCTGTAGTTCTCTGCTGCAGCCACCGGGACTAGAGCTACAAATGGTCTGTTGTTTGGAATTTCGCGGGATTTCTCTTACTCCATTCTTCTGTGTTCTCGGCCTCCCAAAGTGCGAGGATTACAGTTGTGAGCCCCTGCGCCCGGCCTGCTGTTTTTTTGTTTTTTGTTTTTTTAGCCTCTATCAGCTTCAGTGGAACAAGTTCCAACTTTGTCACATGCTGAATTCTGTGCTGTTGAGCTTGTCTTCAGGCGGGTGGCCCTGAGACTCTCCCATGACTCTGTCTGCCCCTCTTCCTTGACCGTGTATGCACAGCACATCAGGGTGAGGCGGGGGCCTTGGAGGTCACTTTGGTCCTGGAAGATTTCCTCTGTGTCCTGGGCCCCACGTGGGGCTTGAGAGAACAGTTGCTGTTTCGTGTTTTCTTCAAAGTGGGTGTGTTCCTAATTCATGATTATGTCTGTTTTTGCAACCAGAGACTTACTCTCCAGCTGTGGCTTGCCACTAATCAGTGACTCTGCCCTGGACTGCTGTGAGGGCAGGGTCTGGATGCCAGGTGGGCAGGGCAGGGCCTCCCACTGCAGCATCACCTCAGCAGCCTTCATCCTGTGAGTCCTTGAACATCCAGGGGCTGCAGCTGTGCCGTGTGGGGGCAGCCCAGCAGAGGGCGCCGAAAGCTTCATTCCCCTCTGCCATCTGTGGGTGTTCCAACCCATTTTCAGAAGTTCGCTGTTGTGGTAGAGGGAGCAGGAATTGGGGGAAGCTAGGATAGTGGGCATTAACCTGCTCCAGGAAGTGGGCATCGTCAGCACAGTCTTTTCGGGGCTGTGGCCATGCAGGAGGGCCAGTAGTGTGTTCAGGTTACCACTCCCTGGGGTGTTCTTGACTTGGGTCCCAGGGAGAACCCTGCATGGCAGTTAACACCAGAGCGCAGGCCTGGGTCTGTCCCAGGAGGCTTTTCCTTCCCTGGTCTTAGTTTCCGACCTGCAAAATGAGAGAATTACCTTAGGTGATGTTTGGGTTTTATACGAGCTTTTAATTCCAAATACGTTTTTTGTGTGTTATTTTTAAAAGGCAAAACTGGCCAGGTACAGTGGCTCACACCCGTAATGCCAGCACTTAGGGAGGCTAAGAGGGGAGGATCACTTGAACCTAGGAGTTTGAGACCAGCCTGGGCAACATAGTGAGACCTTGTCTCTACAAAAAATTTAAAAATTCACTGGCTTGGTGGCATGTGCTTGTGGTCCCAGCTACTCCAGAGACTGAAGCGGGGAGGATCACTTGAGATCAAGAGTTTGAGGCTGCAGTGAGCTGTGATGGTGCCACTGCACTCCAGCCTGGGCAACAGGGTGAGACCCTATCTGGAAAAGAAAAAAAAAAGCAGGGCTGGCACAGTGACTCACACCTGTATTCCCAGCACCTTGGGAGGCCAAGGCAGGTGGATTACTTGAGCCCAGGAGTTTGAGAGCCGCCTGGGCAGCACAGATGGACCTTGTCTCTACAAAAATTAGCCGGTCATGGTAGTGTGCCCTTGCGGTTTCAGCTACTCGGGAGGCTGGGGTGGGAGGATCGCTTGAGCCTGGGAGATTGAAGCTGTGGTGAGCTGTGATCTTGCCACTGCATTCCAGCCTGGGAAGTAGAGTGAAACCCCATTTCAAAAAAAGAAAAAAATATATAGGCATAGCAAAGTAAATAGTCTCTGTGTTGGTATTGCACAGTGGGCGGCTGGTATACAGCAGGGGTTCTCACCCTCAGGCCATAGACCAGTACTAGTCCAGGGCCTGTGAGAATCCAGGCTGCACAGCAGGAGGCGAGTGGCCATTGAGCAAGTGACGCTTCCTCTGTATTTATAGCCACTCCCCATTGCTTGCAGTACCGCCTGAGCTCCACCTCCTGTCAGATCGGCAGAGACATTAGATCCTCATAGAAGCACGAACCCTATTGTGAATGCGTGTGCAAGGGATCTAGGTTGTACGCTCATGCCAATCTAACACCTGATGATCTGTCACTGTCTCCCATCACCCCCAGGTGGGACCGTCTAGTTGAAGGAAAGCTCAGGGCTTCCATTGATTGTGCAGTGTGGTGAGTTGTAGAATTACTTTGTTCTGTATTACAGTGTAATAATAATAGAAATAAAGCGCACAATAAATTTTATGAGCTTGAATCATCCCGACACCATCCCCTTGCCTCACCCGGTCTGTGGAAAAATTATCTTCCATGAAAACTGGTCCCTAGTGCCAAAAAGGCTACGGACCATCGCCCTGGAACACATCCCATGACACCTAAGCAGGGTGGTTTATTGAGAGTACAGAGGGAGGGGAGAAGCTGTGAGATCTCAGGTCACCAGTAGACACTGTACAGGAAAGACCTTGGGAAGGAAAAACGAAAGGAGAGACGCCAGCTTCTCCACCTGGCTCACTCTTGTCGCTGGGGCTCAAGGAAGTGAAGCTGATGAGCTGCTTCGGCCTCACAGAGGAGGAAGGTATGAGAAGCCAGAATCATCCTGGCTAGGGAGCAGGGACAGGAGCTCAGGGCTCTGAAGTCCAGGGAAGGGCTGCCGTGCAGGGCACGGTTTCAAGACTCCCAAAGACGCTGCTTGAAGGAAGCACATGAAAGGGTTGTTAGCCTAAGAGCGTCTCTGTTGATGGCATAGTGTCAGCTACCGAGTCTCCGTCTTGCCAGCATGAGCTGCAGGCAAGTTGAATTGCATGAGGTCATTGAAACGCCCCAAGTGCATAGAACCCCACCTACCTTTACCAAGGGCCTCATAAAAAGGTGCTAAAGCACTTTCTGAGTAGGCATGGATAGCTGCCCACAGCACACTCTGATGGCTGCAATGGAACAGTGTCTCAGGGCCCTCTCCACAGTCTTGTTAGTGTTTGTAGCAGTAACAGATAATGAATTTGGAGAAGCTGAGTGTTGGGAAATCCACTGGAGGGTGGCATCAGACCTGGAAGGCTGTGTATCAGTCCGTTTTCACACTGCTGTGAAGACCTACCTGAAGTAGGGTGTGGTGGCCTCACACCTGTAATCCCAGCACTTTGGGAGGCTGAGGCGGGCGGATCATCTGAGGCCAGGAGTTGGAGACCAGCCTGACCAACATGCAGAAACCCCATCTCTACTAAAAAAAAAATAATAATAATACAAAAATTAGCCGGGTGTGATGTCACATGCCTGTAATCACAGCTCCTTGGGAGGCTGAGGCAGGAGAATCACTAGAACCTGGGAGGCGGAGGTTGCAGTGAGCCGAGATTGTGCTATTACGCTACGTGATTCTGGGTAATTTATAAAGAATAGAGGTTTAATTAACTCACAGTTCTGCATGGCTGGGGAGGCCTTAGGAAACTTATAATCATGAGAGAAGGAGAAGAAGAGGCAAGACACATCTTACATGGTGGCTGGAGAGAGAGCGTGAGGGGAAATGCCACACTTTTAAGCCATCGTATCTTGTGAGAACTCACTCACTATCACGAGAATAGCATGGGAGAAATCTGCCGCCGTGATCCCATCACCTCCCACGAAGTCCCTTTCTGACATGCAGTGATTACCGTTTGACATGAGATTTGGGTAGGGACAGGACCGAACCGTATTAGTGTGACAGGTTAATGTCACAGGGCAGACATGTGAAAGAAGGGTCCTGTAATCACAGTGGTGAGAGCCGCGCTGTCTGTCCTCAGGCAGCTCTGAGCAGGCTGGTCCCCACCAGGCAGGGATGCATAAGGGACGTGAGGTGGCCGGCCTGAGTGGTCAACAAGTGATCATTGTGAAGCAAACATTCAGCTTGCCCACAACAGCCCCAGGGAGCAGCGTCTGGACCCCATGTAGATCCATGTGATCAGAAAGAGTCCCTTGCAAGGGCTGCTTAAAGGGAGAGTGGGCTGTAGTGTGGAGCTGAGTTCCCTACGATAGAGAATATGGAAAAGACTTGGAGAGGTGTTTGGACTAGGGACACTTCTGTTCCTGGCTGGGGCTGGTGGCTTCTGTGCCTGGTACTCAGTTTCCCAGGGATTTGCAGAGTACCCTTCAGGGGAGGCACTTGTCTGCAAGCCTGAGTGCACACTAGCCTGGCCCGTCAACAAAGGTGAGTTGGGTGTGTCCGTGGTTCCTGTCTTGGTGTTGAACAGGAGAGGCTGGCCTGTTGTAGGGAAGCTTTGCTGAATGGAACTTTCCCCTTGTTTCTCCTGCGTTTGGTGTGTTCCTTCCGTAGGGTTGATGCTGCTGACTTGATTTATCCCTGGTGTATTCATCCATTCTTGCACTGCTATAAAGAAATGCCTGAGACTGGATAATTTATAAAGAAAAGCAGTTTAATTGGCTCACAGTTCTATGGCTGTACGGGAAGCATGGCTGGGGAGGCCTCAGGAAGCTTAGTCATGGGGGAAGGGGAAGGAAGGGGAAGCCGGCACATCTTACATGGCTGGAGTAGGAAGAAGTGGGGTGCGGAGTTGCTACACACCTTTAAACAACCAGGTCTCATGAGAACTCACTATTACAAGAACAGCACCAATGAGGAAATCTGCTCTCATGATCTGATCACCTCCCACCAGGCCCCACCTCCAACATTGAGGATTATAGTTTGACATGAGATTTGGGTAGGGACACAGATCTAAACCATATCACCTGGCTTTCCCATCATGTATTAATATAAGCTTCTGAGGTTGTGAATAACTTACAGCCTTCAGGTGACTTCAGAAAGATAGTACGGTTAGTGATAACTTAGGAGAAGAGATGGAAGAGAAGGAAGATGAACCCTTACCAAGTGCTGTGCCGAACCCAGTGTGGCTAGAGCCTCACTGCTGCTGCCTGTTGTTACCACGTCTGCAGATGGCAGGGGGCTTCCGAGGGCCTCAGCCGGGCAGGCCTGTTAGGGTATGGCCAGTGGTGTCCTACGCAGCATAACGTCCTGCTCCTAGGAGCCTGGGGCGCTGTCCTTTGTTACACATGTGTTGGAAATGGCAGATAAAGTTCTAGTTTCAGAGATTCATTTCTCGAATTGAACTGTAACTAAACACAGAAATGCCTCTTAGGGAGATTCCTTTACTAAGACCAAAGAATCCTTTGGGAATAGTAATTTCTTGATGTATCTGTTTCTTGAAGTTAAACATTTATTTTGTAATATATATGGTATTATTGCTGTTCCAGGGAAAATGGTATATATGTAAAAATAACAATATACATGTTCTCTCTAGGGAGAAAAAGTAGTCTCACTGAAAAAGTAAAGCTGAAATTGAATTTCTTTAAAATTGCGTGTTTCAACTTCTCTTCACTAAAGCAGTGAGAAGATGCATTCTTGTTTTCACTCTCATGAGGAAACCATGAGGAACAATGTTCCACTAATAACAACTTAGGGAAATTGAGTCACCTTAGTAACACCCAGAGAATAATAGTCATTCCAGAATCATGTGCATGGGATGCACATGAGGTTGGAGGGAGCTGAAAACAACAGAAATTGACGCTCATAGTTCCGGAGGCCACAGGTTCAGAATCAGTATGGCAGCAGGGCTGTGTTCCCTCGAAGGCTTTGGGGGCGGCTGCGGTGGCCCCTTGTGCTCCTTGGTTTTTGGCCACTTCACTCTCCAGTGGAGCCATTTTAATTTAAAAATTTAACACCTTTGAATGAACATTGGTTGTTTCTAATCAATACCACTTTAGAAGTTTTCTACTGATTCAAGGTTTTTAAAATGTTGAATACATGTAAAATAATCGACTCTTTACAAATAAGTATGTATGTATGTGGCAAGAGAGCTGGTAGGTTTTGTTTGTTTGAGATGGGGTCTTATTCTCACCTAGGCAGTGGTATCATGTCGCCTCACTGCAGCCTCCTCCTGCTGGGTTCAAGAGCCCTCCCACCTCAGCCTCCAGAGTACTTGGGACCACAGCACACAGCACCATGCCTGGCTAATTTTTTATTTTTATTTTTTGGTAGAGACAAGTTTTTCCCATGTTGCCCAGGCGAGGTCTTTGAAATCAATTGTTTTTATGTTTGCTTTATAAAACTCATTCTTTCTTTCTTGTTTGACACATACATAAGCCTGCAGTACCCAAATTTGTTCCCCCCCAAAAATTTACCCAGAGGCTATGAGGAGAGAGTCAAGGAAGAGGTTTTTATTGATGTTATTTATCAAACAACTCTTGAGCTCTACACTAAGATTCTATAGTAACTGCACACATATACTATGAAAGGGAGAATTGGCATCAATATTGAATCTTCCCATCCAAGAATATGGTATGTCACTGTTTTTCAACTTTTTTTTAAAATGTATGTTATATTATGGTTTTATAGTTTGTAAATCTTGCCCCATTTTATGCTTCCACAGTGTGTAGTTTGAGGGGCTGCTGTGACTGGCATCTTGAGTGGGGAATCTGTGTTCTAAAGCATTCTTGCTGGGAACTGGGAAAGCGGAGGTGCCCTGTGACCAGTCATCTCACCAGATGCCAGCATGAACTCTTGTAGTTTTTGAGTTGAGTCTTGAATCTAGGAGTCTAGGAAATCACAACATTTTCTACAAATAATGATAGGTTTATCTCATCTTTTCCAGCATTTGTCCCCTTTTTTTGGCTTCCACTAGGACCTTCAGACCAGTGTGAATAAGAGCATTGATACTGGCACCCTTGTCCAGTCCTGGCTTCGAGGGGCTGCTGTGAGTGTTTCACCATGAAGTTTGATGCTTGCCGTACAGACTTTTGATAATTTCTAGCAAATTAAAGAAGTTTGCTTTTATTTCTAGTTTATTTAGGCTATCATTTAAAAAATAAAACAGGAAGATGTCAAGTTTGATGGTATGATTTTTCTTCTATCAGTTGCTGTATAAATTAAGAGTTTAGGTTGCCTAATTTTGAGACATTCTTGCATTCCTGGGATGAAACCTTAATAGATCATGATATGTCATTCTTTATTCTATTATTAAATTTAATTAGCTGATATTTGATTTAGGACGTGTGTGTGTGTGTGTGTATTAGGATATGTATATAAAATTATTTTTAGAGACAGGGTTTCACACTGCTGCCCAGGCTGGAATGCAGTGACAAGATATTAGTTCTCTGCAGTCTCAAACTCCTGGACTCAAGCTATCCTCCCACTTCAGCCTCCTGAGTAGCTGGGACCATGGTTTTGGTTCTGGCTTGGCACGGTGGCTCACACCTGTAATCCCAGCACAGGTGGGATTTGGAGGCCAAAGCAGAAGGATTGCTTGAGCCCAGGAGTTTGAGACCAACCTGGGCAACATAGAGAGACCCCATCTCTACAAGGAAAAAATATTAGCCACATGTGGTGGTGTGTGCCTGTGGTTCTAGCTACTTGGGAGGCTGAGGTGGGAGGATCACTTAGGCCCAGGAGGTTGAGGCTACATAGTAAGTTGTGATCATACCACTGTAGTCCAGCCTAGGTGACCTTGTCTCAAAGATAATTTTATTTACAAAAAAATGTTTTTGTGAGGGTGGGTGTCTCTTGCCTTATTACCAAGGCTATTCTCAAACTCCTGGCCATAAGTGATCTTCCCGCCTTGGCCTCCCAGAGTGTTGGGATTACAGGTGTGAGCCACTGCATCTAGCCAGGACTTTGATATCTGTAATCTGAGGTATAATTGAGTTGCCTTGGTCTTTGAGGTCTTATTTGTTTCTTATAAAAGTTTTATTAGCTTCATAGAATGAATTGAGATACTTTCTGTGTTTTCCATTTTCAGGAATACTGTAAGTTTTCTGTCCCATGAAGGATAAAACCTACCGTAAAACTTTGGGGCCTAATTCATTTTTAAAGGGAATAACAAGAACTATAGATCTTGTCTGTGTTTTGAATTTATATGATGTTTATTGGTCTATTTCAGTTTTCCTTCTACATCGAGTCAGTTTTACAAATGGAATTTGGTTCAGGAAGTTATCCACATCATTTAGATAATGGGTCGTAAGCTGACACCTGTAAGGATAGGGAAAGTCATGGAAATGGATGACATGGAGTAGAGTGGCCCCAGAGTTCCTGTGGTGCTCATGGCCATCACCACCCTCACCTTAGAAAGTGCCCTCAGTTGGGAGAGGCCCTGGGGGAGTGTGGGACATGGGTAGTGAAGGCCCCACTTATGTGTGCGTGCACCTGTTCTCCTGTTCTCCGTTGGGCAGTCCCCACTTGGCTCTAGCAGTCTTCACAGGGCCACCAGAGCTACCGAGTTGTCAAGAGAAGCCAGACATCTGGATTATTAGGTGAAATCTCAAAAAATTTTTAAAAAGAGGCATTGTGCAGGTCTGACAAAATAGCCCATGAGCCCCTTGTTTGCAACTCTTCTTTAGAATACTATAAAGCATCAGCTTATAAAGATACTTTCTCTCACAATTTTAAAACAATCTTCTGGCTGGGTGGCTCATGCTTGTAATCCCAGCACTTTGGGAGGCCGAGGCAGGTGGATCACTTGAGGCCAGGAGTTTGAGACCAGCCTAGCCAACATGGTGAACCCGGTCTCTACTGAAAATACAAAAATGAGCCGGGCATGGTGGCGGGTGCCTGTAATCCCAGCTACTCGGGAGGCTGAGGCACGAGAATCACTTGAATCAAGGAGGCAGAGGTTGCAGTGAGCCTAGATTATGCCACTGCACTCGAGCCTGGGTGATGGAGCGAGACTCCTTCTCAAAAAAACCAAGAAAACACAGTCTCCATATGTATCCGTATCTTTTCTCAAACCTGATGTTTTTTTGTTACCTTTTCCCCCCTTGTTCAGCCCTGGCAGAAGTTTAGAGAACCAATTTTTGGTTTTATTAATCACATTTGCTTCACTGTTTTCTCAGTAAGTTCTCTCTTTGCCTTTAATTCATTCCTCCTTCAGTTTTGTTTTGCTTCTTTAAGTCTCACGTGCCTGTTAACAGCTCCTCCTCTCCTGCAGGCTCGGATCTCCATGTGGCCATCTTGCCATCTTGCTGCCGCCATCTTGCTTATCACTAACGCATTCAGGGCACATTGTGGGCATTCAGTAGATAGTGAATGTTCATCGACTGTCTTCACAGATTTAGCCAGAATATCTTAATTTCTCTTTTAATGTCTGCTCATCTCTGTCTTTCCTGTGAGAAAAGTACTTGTGTTGGTTTTGAGTAGAAATACCCGTTAACATATTTGTGGTATTGTATCTTTACTGTTTGCAGATGATGCTTCTCATATGTATCTTACTTAAGAAAATCGCCTCTTGAAAATGTCTTGTGTAATTGTCACAGGGATTAAGGTTTTTCTTTCTTTCTTTTTTTTTTCATCCCCTTACTAGATGACAATGAAAACCAAACAGCGCGTGTTAACAGAAGACTGGGAGCTTTTTAAACAAAGACGATTCATTGAAGAACAGGTAATCTTGTCAATGAGAGAGGCAATTAAAGGAAGCAGAAATTTGTCCTGACAGAGCGAATTTCTTTGCCCGTTGATGTGCTCTGTTAGAACAGCATTGGAGGACCACATCGGTACCTTCTGCCAGTGTTAAAAACTGCTCAAGACAGTGTTTTTATTTTCAAGATAAACTAATTTTGTTCACCTGTTTCCTTATCTTTCAAATACTCCTCAAGAAAAACACGTGTATTGAGTGGTCTCTATCGTACAGAAGCCCTGAGTATTTTACAAACGATATTGCCCTGAGCCCCCATAGTCCCCTATTGAGACAGGTGGTGCCAGCTGCAGTTTACATACAAGGGAAGGTGATGGGGTGGGGTTAAGGATGTCGCCTGATGTCCCAGTGCTGGGATGGGGGCCCAGCTTCCCCAGACAAAGCAGTCACCAGGTGCCATGCCTTCAATTGCCCTTCCTTATCTTCCTGGTGGTGCCTCCTCCAGGCAGGCTTGTGCTCCACCTTTGCTCGCACTATTTGGCAGAGCTCCCTAGTGATGTCCTGTATCTGGTCTTGGGCCCTTGGCTTCATCTGGAAACTCGGCTTCTCCTGATCTCCCATCCACATGCCACACCAACTCTCTTCCTGTTCTCTGACACTTCTCTCCATCTCCTTTATGAACTCCACTTTGTTGGCCTTTCTGTAAATACTGGTGGTTCCCCGGCCTTGACCCCATGCCTCTCTCCACATTTGCATGCCCATGGTCTCCTCTGGGCACCACAGATATACAGGTGGCACCAGTGTTGGGCATGCTCCCCTCCTCCCTTTCCCCATTCTGCATGTGTCCTGTCCTTTTGAGTGGGCTTTCCAGCTGCCACCTGTCCCATTGCCAGAGTAGGACCAGAGTTCCTTCTCCTTTGAAATGCAGGTGCTCACCTTGTCTGTTGGAAGTCGAGGCACCATTTCCTCAATAGCTTCCAGGCCCCACTCCTTGCCCTCCATGTGCCAGTCTCCATTCCTACAGCTCTGTTCCCAGTACCTTGCCAGTGCCAAGCACGTGGCAGACAGGGTAAAGGCCGGACCTCCGCAGCAGCCCTGCTTTCCAGGTGTCTGCTGTGAGGGCACATAGCAGTATGTTTGCTGAAGACAAAAGCATTTAGGGGCTCCTGCTAACTGAGCCCTGTGCAGCTCAGTCGCCACTTGCTGCCAACTCCAGGTCTGTTTCCCCTGTGTTCCTGGTCCTGTCCCACTGAGAAAGCAGTGCCCAGAAACATGACACATGTTAGCAGAATTCCTGAAAAGTAATGAGCTATGTCCCGGGGGAAGGTCTTACAAAATTAAAGTGTTTAAAATTTCCTCTAGTTAACCAGTAAGAAAGTTACTGGAGAGAACAACTTCACGGACACCATGAGGCACATGTTGTCTTCCCGTCTAAGCATGCCTGACTGCCCCAACTGCAACTACAGGAGAAGGTAAGCCTGGGTGCTTGTGTCAGTGTGTCCAGCCCACAAGACCTTCACTGGGCTCCGCAGAGGCCCAGACCGGCCCTTAGAGAGCATGGTCTAGCCTTCTGCATTGGCTGGCTTGGTAACTGTCCTTAATTCCTGATCAGATGTGCTTGTGATGACTGCAGCCTCTCACACATCCTCACTTGTGGTATCATGGACCCCCCCGTCACTGACGACATCCACATTCACCAGCTCCCACTGCAAGTGGGTCCTGCTCCTGACTACCTTGCTGAGAGGAGCCCACCCAGCGTGTCGTCTGCAAGCTCAGGGTCGGGCTCCAGCTCTCCCATCACGATTCAGCAGCATCCCAGGCTCATCCTCACAGACAGTGGCTCGGCACCAACTTTGTAAGTGTGACTTTGTAGTAAAGTTTCAGAAATTTAAGTCTTCCAGTAATGAGAAACACGTAAAATAACATCCACAGAAGTAAAAACATCATTATTGTGCTTTTCATGGCAAAGAACCCTGAGGTTTTTAAAGCAGCTTTTAAAACATGAAATCAGTAAACCCAAACTGATTACCTGAAAAAATACGGTAAATTAATAAAGGCCAGTAAAGAAAGAACGTGTTGGCGTGCAGAGAAGTGTCTCTACCTCCGGCCTCACGTCTCCTCCTTCTGAAGGGTGAGCAGCCCGCTGTCCGTCCTGTCTCATTGTCAGCCCAGCACTCAGGCCTGTTTCAGGTCTTGCTAAGAACTCAGGTGATTGCTTCAGCAAGCTGCTGCAAGTTTCTGTTTTCCGTGTTCCCCATGATTAGAAGTGCACTTGGTACTAGCAGGGTGGCTGTGCAGCCGTCACCCGTTCATGTTGTAGTTGGCTGGTCCCGATTTCTGCAGTTGTCACCCTGTCATTTGGGCAGACTTCACATGCTAATCTCTCAAAGGGTTGCACATGGATGTATTGCTAAAGTCAGCTTAGGTTTAGTTGATATGTATCGTAGAGCACACAAGCACCATGCTCTCTGTGGAGGTGCCCAGTGGGAGAGATTGTTGCTCCTGACCTTGGCTGTGCGCTGTTTCTCGGATTTCTCTGACCAACTGACTTGTGTTCATTCCGTCCATCTGGATTTCTCATGGTGACCAATGTTTTCCTTCAGTCTTTCCATTTTCAGTTTGGGCTTGTTCTCAGAGAAAATAATCCTGGAACGACTGGTGTAAACTCACCGACTCTTCATACAAAGATTGCAGGCCTTGTTTATTGCCTTAGGGACACCGTGTTCTCTCTGGGGCACAATAAAGAATGTGAGACACTTTTGCAGCTGGTGTTATCCAACTGCTTACTGAAACATAGAAATTAAACATAAAGAGTCTAGTGAAAATTTAAGATGGAAAATTTCATCCCCGTTCATTTGTCACAGCTACTGATGCCAGTTACGGGCTCTTGTGCCACATTTGGTAGTGGAAGAAATTGGCCACGAGAGCCTTTCTTCTTGGACTGGGACTGACTCTATCACTGTTTATGGGGAGCCCAGGTTCTTGGGGCATCTGGACCTTCAGCAACTTGTGATCAATGTCTTCTAAATGTAAACTCTTGATTTGAACATCTCCAGTGTTATCTTTTCGTTAGTATTCTCTTTTTCCCGGTGCCTTTTCTACGTTGGTTAGAAAGAGCAATGTGATGGAAGTCACTAGACTGCTGCCTGGATCTTAGGGCTGCATCTTTGTGAAGTATGGAGGTGCAGACGGCGAAGCTCCTGCCATCAGATGGACCAAATGGCCGAGTTACTTCATTAGAACCCCAGTTTCCTCTTCTGTAAATTGTGGCAGTGATCATCCTCAGGAGTAGATGTGAGCATTGGCCCAGGCAGGGCCCCAGGTGCAATGGGCCTACAGGAAACCCTAGCACCCTGCACCTTGTGGGTGCTGTTTGTACTTTTCTCTGGTGAGCTCCAGCCTCGAGCATGTTAATTATAATGTGTTGAAAAGACACCTGAATTTGGTAGTCCTGGACGCTCTTCGCTTATTCTGGGACATGAGATCACAACGAGTTCCTCGGGTTTTGCCTTCCGGAGCTTGCTGTGCGCCCAGGCTGAAGATGGACTCAGTGGCATGTTTTCGTGGACCGTGGAGCACCCTGTTTGCACTGGGCTTGAACCCTGTGCCAGCTCTTTGAATGCATCAGAAGCTTATATGTCCCAAGTGGTCTCTGTAGGCTGAAGCCTTAAAGTCTGTTTAGAATTGGTTTCGGTTCAGTTTTCGTTTGCCTCTTGCTTAGAAATCTTCTAAAACTGATACTTAGTTATGACCATGAGTGACCATGCCATGACTGGCCTTAAAGCAAAAAAAAAAAATGAGTCTTTTGCTATGTTAAGTGCCTTTAAAGTTTTGTTCACCTGGCTATTTGTGAAAATTTGGTGTTTAAAAAAGCAAACGCTGAACACCTAAGCATGGCCATGAAGGATGCGGCATGGACATGGCTTAATTTTCTTAAAAATTGTGTTGGCTTGAAAGTAGCAGAGAGACTAGTTTTATACCAGTGTTCTTCAGGTCAAATGGCAATGTTACATCAATCAGTCTGGTTAAATTTTTGTAGTTTCCTTAATATTTCTACTTTTGGAGCCTTTTAAAAAAAATTCTTCCAAATGGCACAAATATTAATCTTCTAGGCATTTTTCTCATGTTCAGGTTACTAAGAAATATGAGTAGGATGAATGATACTTAACTGATACTCTCTGTGAATGAAAGCAGTGATGTCCAGGACACGCCTGTGCTTAGTGGTCGTTTACTTACTGTCTGTCTCACTGAATGACCTCACAGTGACCAGCTCTGCTTGTGTCAGTTGTAGTGATGATGAAGATGTTGCACCATTGTCAGCCAAATTTGCTGATATTTATCCGTTGAGTAACTATGATGATACCGAGGTCGTGGCCAACATGAATGGGATCCACAGTGAATTGAATGGTGGCGGGGAGAACATGGCCCTGAAGGATGAGGTAATGGACATGGCTTCTTCGTAGCAACAGGAATGACATAAAATGGTGGTCTGACATTTTGTATTACTCTGTTGTGAAAAGTACAAATTACAAAAGATTGTCTTTAAAGTCTCCTCAGATAAGCAGTACCAGTAGTAGTTCCTCAGAAGCTGACGATGAAGAAGCGGACGGCGAGAGTAGTGGGGAGCCCCCAGGGGCCCCAAAGGAAGATGTAGTGCTGGGAAGCAGGAACCCCAGGACAGAGGAGAGCAAAGTGGACAGTCCACCTCCGTCCTACCCAACACAGCAGGTACGACTTTGTTTTCTGTTTTGCCACGGACCTCTTTTTCTGTCTATATTTTTTATAAACATGAGCATTATCGAATACAGAATTACTCTGTTTCCCATAATTTCTGAAGGTTAGAACTGAAGAGCATCAAGGCATACTTAAAATCTTCATTTGAATCTTGTTTTTCTTACTCAAATCTGTCATTATCAATCTTGATTTTGCCACATCCCACGGCAGCCCTATGGAGGCTTTGTTTGTTTGTATAGAGGCAAAGAGAGTTGTTTTTAAAATTAAAATAGTGAAATATTAAAATTTCAGGAAAGGTTAGTTTTTCCTGTTCATTTTTTGTTTTTCTGTTAACCAAGGGTAAGGGTACCTTATTAACCTTTTTTCTCAGAATTTCATAAATAGGTGCTTAGTAAGCAGTTTTTGGCTGGGCACGGTGGCTCGCGCCTGTAATCCCAGCACTTTGGGAGGCCAGGGTGGGTGGATCACTTGAGGCCAAGAATCCAAGACCAGCCTGGCCAACATTGCAAAACCCCGTCTCTACTAAAAATATAAAAATGAGCTGGGCGTGATGGCAGGCACCTGTAATCCCAGCTACTCGGGAGGCTGAGGCACGAGAATTGCTTGAACCCGGGAGGCAGAGGTTGCAGTGAGCTGAGATCACACCACTGTACTTCAGCCTGCATGACAGAGCGAGACTCTGTCTCTAATAATAATAATAATAATAAGCAGTTTTTAAATGAAAGAACAAATGAAGGTCAAAGTGTTTGGCTAATTTATTTTCTTAGGTAATATAAATGTAACATTCAAATGATAAAGGTGATGTTGAAAGGTCTGTGTGGGAAATCTGACCACGTCTCCTTCTCCATCTGCCCTGTCAAGCATCTGTGTGCCCGCAGTCCCTAGTGCTAATAGATCGTCAGTTTTATTTACTGTGTAAACACAAGTATTCTTTTCCTTTCTTAGGAAAAAGGCTATCTACGATTGCGCACACTGTGCTGTGCCTGGCTTTTCACTTAGCAGTATATCCTGACAGCCTTCATCTGTCTGTAGAGTGTATTTCCCCATATTATTCTGCCAGCCTCATTATATTCCATTATGTAGACATACTGGAGTGTTGTTCTGCTTTGCTTTTCAGCCCTAAGTTGATAGCACTTATGTTGTTTCTCCCAGAAAAGGGTGGTGTCACAGTTTTGATTTCTGCTGGTATGATAGATATAAAAAAATAAACGACTTGTGATATTTTCTGATGGTCTGTGGTACGTCAGTTTTTTTGTTTGTTTTTTTTTTGAGATGAAGTTTCCGCTCTTGTTGCCCAGGCTGGAATGCAATGGTGCGATCTCAGCTCACTGCGACCTCCGCCTCCCAGGTTCAAGCTATTCTCCTGCCTCAGCCTTCCGAGTAGCTGGGATGACAGGAATGTGCCACCATGCCCAGCTAGTTTTACATTTTTTTTTTATTAGAGAGAGAGTTTCTCCATGTTGATCAGGCTGTCTCGACCTCCTGACCTCAGGTGATCTGCCTGCCTCAGCCTCCCAAAGTGCTGGGATTACAGATGTGAGCCACTGCGCCCAGCCAACATGTCAGTTTTTTATGGTGTCTTTTGAAAAGCAAAAGTTTTAATTTTGATAAATTATTCTTTATCAGTTTTTTTATGCATAATGTTTTTGATATTCAAGAAAACTTTGCCTAACACAAAACTATTTTCTTTTAGAAGATTTATAATCTTAGTTCTTAGATTCTGTGGTTCATTTGGCTCAGCATGTGCTTATTGTGAGGTGAGAGGTTATAAATTCACCTTTTTTGCATATGTGGATATTTAGTTGTCTCTGTATGATTTGTCAGAAGTACCTATAGAATTGCCTTGGCCATTAATTGCAAATTTATTGAAATCAGTGGATTATAAATTTAAAAGTTTATTTTTCATTCTGTTCATTTGATCTCTGTGTCTGTCCTTACACCCATAGTGCATTTGACAGTTGCTTTATGGCAAGTTTAGGAAATAGGATAGGATCCGCCCTCCAGCTTGGTATACCTTTTTCTCTTCCCTTTTTTTCTTTTGTCAGGCTGGAATGCAGTGGTGTGATCTCATTGCAGCCTCTGCCTCCCGGTGTGATCTCATTGCAGCCTCTGCCTCCCGGATTCAAGTGATTCTTCTGCCTTACCCTCCTGAGTAGCAGAACTACAGGCGCATGCCACCACACCTGGCTAATTTTTATATTATCAGTAGAGATAGGGCTTCACCATATTGGCCAGGCTGGTCTTGGTCTTCTTACCTGTGGTCTGACCACCTCAGCCTCCCAGAGTGCTGGGATTACAGGCATGAGCCACTGCACCAGACAGGTAGACCTTTTTCAAAATCATTTATGCTGCCCAAAGTTCTTTGCATTTCCATATAAATTTTAGGATCTGCTTGTCAACTTCTACAGAAAGCCTGCTTGGATCTTGATAGGGATTGCACTGAATTCTTAAATATATATTTAGAATTCTCCAGTAAAGCCAGGCGTGGTGGCTCACACCTGTAATCAGAGCACTTTGGGAGGCCGAGGCAGGCGGATCACGAGGTCAAGAGATCGAGACCATCCTGACCAACATGTTGAAACCCCGTCTCTACTGAAAATACAAAACTTAGCAGAGCATGGTGGCGCACGCCTGTAGTCCCAACTACTCAGGAGGCTGAGGCAGGAGAATCACTTGAACCTGGGAGGTGGAGGTTGCAGTGAGCCGACATTGCGCCGCTGCACTCCAGCCTGGTGACGGAACAAGACTCTGTCTAAAAAAAAAGAATTTCCAGTAAAATCCTCTGGATGTGGTTGTGGTCTTTTATTTGTGGAATGATACAGATCAGTTTAGGGAGAATGCAGTCCTAACAAAATTGAGTCTTTTAATCTATAAATATGCTGTATCTTTCCATTTATTTAAGTCATCTTTAATTTCTCTTAGCAGTTCTAAAAAATTCCCATCTTTGCATCTGGAATATATAAGTATTATGTGTTTTCACTCACAGTAAAAGGGATTTTCTAATTTTGATTTCCAGTTGATCATTGGTAATATATAGAAATGCAGTTGATTTTTATATATTGGTCTTGTGTTCTGCATCTTTACTAAACTTGTTTATTAATTCTAGTAGGGCTGGGGTTTTTAGTAGATTACTTTGGATTTTCTGTGTACACGATCATGTTGTCTGCGAATAAAGAGTTTTACTTCTTCCTTTCCAATCTGGATGCAGTGCTTTTAATATCCTTTAATATCCTCTCTCCGTCTCCTCCCCCCTATTTCCGTCTCCCTCTCTTTTCTCCCGACCCGCTCTCCCCTCCCCTCGCCTCCCTCGCCTCCCTCGCCTCCCTCCCTCCCTCCCTCCCTGTCTTTCTCCCTCCCTTCCTTTTCTCCTTCCCTCTTTCCCTCCCTCAGGCTGGAGTGCACTGCTACAGTCATGCTCACTGCAGCCTCAAACTGCTGAGCTCAAGCAGTCTTCCTGCCTCAACCTACCAGGTAGCTAAGACTACAGGTGTATCACAACTACAGGCATGCACCACCATGCCCAGTTTAAAACAAAAGTTTCTTTTAGAGATAGGGTCTTACTATGTTGCCCAGGCTTGTCTTGAATTTCTGGCCTCATGTGATCCTCCCATCTTAGCCTCCCAAAACTTTAGGATTACAGGTGTGAGGCACCACACACAGGCTGGATGTTGTTAGTTTTTACTCTTGCCTTCCTGAGCTAGCTAGACCGTCAGTACAGAATAGAAGTGTTGCCAGCAGACGTCTTTGTCTTGTTCCCAATCTTAAGGGGAAAGCATTTAACCTTTGACCACTCTCTAAGTGTGATGTCAGCTGCAGGTTTTTCATAGATGCCCTTTATTGGGTTGAGGAAATTCTATGCTACCTCTAATTTCTTGAGTTTTTTCGTGATTTGAATATTGAGTTGTATGTATGTTCGGTCTTTCAAATGCCTTTTCTGCATGTATTGCAGTCCTGTGGTTTTCATTTTTTATTTTGTTACTGTGGTGGGTCATATCAGTTGATTTAGGGAGAAATCCCACTTGATGGTGGTATATAACCCTTTTCATACGTTCCTGAGTTGGCTCGCTAATATTTTGTTGGGATTTTTGCATCTGTGTTAATATTAATAAAACATTGGTCTGTAGTCTTCCGTCTTTGTGATGTTTTTGTCTTTGGTATCAGAATAATACTGGCTTCACAGGATGAGTCAGGAAGTGGTTTTTTCACCTCTGTTTTCTGAAGGAGTTTAAGATTTAACATTTAATATTTAAGTTTCTTAAATATTTGATAGAATTCACCAGCAAAATCCTGTGGGTCTGTTTTTTTTTTTGTGTGTGTGGGAAGATCTGTAGTTACTGATTCGAGTTTTATTTGCTTGTGATTGATCTTTTCAAATTTTTTATTTCTTACTGAGTGAATTTTAATGATTTTTGTCTTTGTAGGAGTTTACTCATTTGATCTAAGTTGTCTAATTTGTTGGCATAAAGTTATTCTATTCTGTTATAATCCTTTTTAATTCTGCAGTGTCTGCAGTGATGCTAATTCTTGATTTTGGTAATTTTATCTTCTTTTTAATGGCTTCAGTCACTTGGGCTAAAGATTTGTCCATTTCTCTGTTCTCTTTTCTATGTCATTGGTTTCTATTCTGAAATTTCTTTCTGTGTTCTTTGGGTTTGGCTTGCTCTTCTTTTCTAGTTTGTTGGAACAGAAGCTTAGATGACTGATGTTAGAGCTTCCAGCTTTGCTGAGACTTGTTTATGGCCTAACATGCGGTTTACCTAGATCATGTTCTGTGTGTTCTTGAAAATAATTTGTATTTTGCTCTTGTTGTGTGGAGTGTTAAGTAAATGAAAGTTCGGTCAAGTTGGTTGATGGCGTTGTGAAAGTCTTCTGTATTGTCTTGGTCTATTCAGGCTGCCATATAAGGACAGTAATCCCACTCCTGAGAGTAGAGCCTTCCAAAGCCCTCGTCGCCTAGTACCACCACGTGGGAGGTTGCGATACCAACAGAGGGA